AGATAAGTGCTAGCAAAAAATTTCACGTATTACTTCGATACGTGAACATTTTTTTAATATATTAATAACATGATGTCGCACGCATCAAAAGATGATATTCAAATGAAAAATTCGAACTCACTTTTTTCACTTATTCTTTCTTCCTCTTTTTCTTCCGACATGCTTTTATCGTAAACGTCTCAAGGCAACGAAAAACGAAAAAGAGAAAACAAAACAAACACGTTGCTAAGTGAAGTGGAGTAAAGAGTCCTTGGTATGTGTAGCAAATTGTTCCATATTGAAGTTTTTATTGCATCATAAATCGAACATTCATGTTAAGCATGAACAGCTGGAAAAAATGAACGCATCAAATGATAAACAATGTACTGTGACACCATCGACGACAGAACAGTAACAATAGAAAACACAACCAATATTATGTTGACCCTATATTCCCCGTACAAATAATAGCTCACCTGTCTCTTTTGTTATGGAATTCTACATGAGTGGATTCTGTGTTTTATTCGGTTACACGTAACACAACATAAGCGATACGAACACAATACAACCGATTTACGTCTTTCATAATTTGTTTGAGTCAATGGTTTCCATCTTGAAATACCTTTTTTTTTCTTCGGCTCGATAAAGATAGGGGAGTAAACATTGATTGAAAGGCGAAAAATTGAAGAAATCGTTTAAAAATATATACTCACTGTGGGTGAAAGCAAGATTACAAATCAATATATGAGTCGCTTACTGAAGTACCATGAATGTGGTATTTAATATTTTAGTGGCAATGAAATGTATGACGCAAAAATATCTATTACTTTGAATGAAGAGAACATTTAAGAGCTTACTTTGCAGCTCAAAGTTTTATTTGATTCGCCCACAGACCGATTTTAAGCTTTATAAAACTTACGCTAACATGGCACACACTCACAATATTCATCGTGTTGTGTGTAACATCCTCGTCTAATACCAATGATTTTACATGTAAAATAACGACAAGAAACGACAAAAGTGACCTCTCGTAGCAGCACAGTTGAAACTAACGAAACAAACACAATTGAACATGTCATTTTCATGTTCAGTGTTGGTTCTGTTGTTTGCCGTATTACCGGAGAGAGATGTCTACAGCTTAGTGGCGTTAAATGACATTCAACACCCATGGTGTGTAAAGTAATGAGAAAAACATACACTCATCATGGAGGAGAACAAATTTTTCAACTTTTTTGTCAGTTTAGTGAAATTTATTGTCATCATTAATTTAAATCGGAAACGTTTGTTTCTGCGTCACTGGGGATCCGTTTCAAAGGGCCACCATAATAAGGCAATGTATCAATAGACGTATGTTTTTGACACATCGTGATGCTTGTTTCAATTTATTTTTTTCTCTCACTATATTTCACACTACCCATGTCAGTGAAGTAGAATTCGTGAACACACACTTGACTGGACTTTAAAAAGAAGAGTCTCAACCATATTGGCACATTTCTCACAGCAGACGTGAAAAAAGTAGCTCAAAATTCAACCGGAAATACACCATTGAATAGATTGGAAAACGAATTGTTTTGTCAATCGAATACTTCATCTATCGGTTTATTATGACAAAGTTGAAGCACTGCTTTGATTGCCGGAGGCTACCAATATATCACAGTAGGAATGCGACAATGAATTTTTATTGCATTTTTCGCATGAAATTCATATTGTTCATTTCACTCAATAAAATCACAATCGGAACATAGACTGCCATCGATATTGAAATTCTTTCGTTTTTTTCCCTCCATTAAATGCACGTTACACATCGTCGTTTTTTTGTTTCATATGGAATATAACAAATCGAGAAATTCGGTCATAAATTTGCCGCCAACAGCACATTCGAGTATTGATTTTCGAATCGGCTGTTTTCGATACGATTCTTTGGTTGTCATCAATGGAGCATCGGGATGTATTATTTGTACCATTGTGCTGATAAATTGTGTACCATTGACGTTAACACACGATTGTGGATTTTCAAAAGTCTTTGAGTATTTGGAAGAGGGGAGAGGAAAAAAAAAAATGGATAAATTGGTTGAATCAGCATCTCTATGCAATCAATTATCGTCGTAAAAAAAGATTCACACAGACGATTCAAATTGATGCGCGTCGAGTGGAGTGTCTGTGTTTCACCAAAATCCATCACGCTTTCGAAACGAAAGTAATTTTCGCATTTATTAGTTTCGATACACGTATACTCGTCGTCTGAGCAGACAAACACACAAACCATTTAGTTTAGTTGAATGATTTCATCGCAATTGAACCGGCGATAACTGCTCGAAAATTAGTGATAAATAGCGAGTCTTTTGTGCGAGAAAATTGGATTTATTCATCAAACTAGTAAAGTAATTGAAAATTCCCCTTAAAACAATGGCACCAGAATGCATTGAACTGGGAATGCTTTGTTTATGGTCTTGTTAGAGATAGATTATTGTTTCATTGCTACAGTTTTGGCATTCATAATTAGTGTTTTTTTTCGCATCAAAACTTGCAAAATGATGGCCATTTGATGGAACAGTCGACGTAATTTTGTGCCACTTAAAAACTTCGGAAACAATTAACTGCAATACACTGAGTCCTTCAACTTCGGAAAGTGTTTAATCGCATATGACAATGATTGTACAAAGTGTCATAAAATACCGTCCATCGGCAATATCGCCTTCGCCACGTGCCAGAACGACTTGACTCAACAATCAAAGGAATTTAAAGTCTGAACTAAGTGCAGAATTCAACAAAAGTTTTTCCAAGTGGGAGAAAACAAGTTCAGAAAGCGCTCGTTTACGGCGACTCAGCGAATTTTGCAGCCGTTTTGGAATGGATGTAATTATGGCGACAACAAGAGGGGAAAAACACAACACACAATTGCTTACAACGAAAATATATTTTATTCGAAGCGTGAATTCGTACTTTGCAGCATTTTTCCATGTCGGAAAAATCCAACGACATTTTGCTACTAAATTTTAATTGAATTTTTTGTTTCTCTCTCTCTCTCTCTCTCTCTCTCTCTCTCTCTCTTTCGGCTTTGAGCGAAATTTTTACATTTGTAAGCAATAAATTTTTGTCCGCGTAGTCAACATCATGATTCGAAGTCAATGAAATTCACCCCAGAAAAAAAAACACAGAGTGAATAGAATTTATAAAAGTGTTTTCGTAACAGCTTTCTGTTGCAAAGCTTTTAAATCGAATAAATTCTATCAGAAACATGGAATGATGCTAATTCGACGAAACTCTAGCCAGCCCGGCAATGTTGAAATAACGAACAGATTCTAACAGGCGACAAGTGCAATAAAAAAAACGACAACTCTCACACATGCAAGTATGTGTATAACGAATGCACGCACACTGAATGCGATATCAAGTTGTCAGATTTATTTAGCGTTCGCAACAATTTGAACAGGCGACGTTGACGTCACACAATCAAACCGCATACATCCATCACTCAACTCCCATTTTCGATGTATGCAGAGGCATTCACATTTCATTACGATGATTATGGAGTGATGTCTCGCGATGAACGCGATGCGCCATCACATTCACATATGACTACATGAAAATTATATCCATTTGTCTGTTGTCTATTGTCTTCTGTCAGCTCTTCGTTTCATTTGGCTGCTTTTTCACTCTCACTCTCGCATTTTCGAGCACATTTGTGTGGCGACAAATGTCAATGAATTTCATTTCACATATATGTACTTTCATATGAATGAAAAGTCCGACAAAGCATTCAAATCGACGGGAGTCGTTCATGCGTTGACTGCACTGAATCATAATGAATGTGGGATTCAATGATACTGACGTCTGAAATCCTGTACCAAATTATAAATCTTCGTAATGACTTTTCGTCGGGATATGTGCAAAAGAAATAGGACAAAAAATAAACCCCTTTCATAACAACGTATGAAAGATTGAGCTAATTTAATGCTAATTTATGTACAACTCTTTTTTTTGCTTGCAATTTGATTTGAAATGTTTCATTCGAAGCAGAAAATATATTGCAAAAATATTTACGTTCCTGTAGCCTTCAACAAAGATGTCTGCAAAGTTTACAACATCAGATAGAACCCGAAATTCAGTTTGTTTTTGCTAAATCATGAATTTTACTGAAGCCTTTGTTTCCAAATTCAATTTCAAATGAATTTAAAAATTATTTACTCAAACATAAATTGAGTTTGACAAAAATGTCAGTGGCGTAAATCAAACAACTGGTAGGTCGCTTTGAATGAATCGACGCTCGTCAAGAGCGTTACGCAATTTTCAATCAAATTGCATGAAACTACCGAAAAAAATGGCTAAAAGCGGTGAATGCTTTCGAAATGTGCGTTTTCTCACTTTTGACATGAATCACAATCATCAAAGCCGCACAAAAGAATTCGATGAAAATGTCAGCTTCGACATAACAACTATTTCAATATTAAAAATGACCGTTAAAAGTTTCTCTCTGAACAAAGCAAATATGCTACTTGTGAATGCAGAAAATGTTTTCTTTCGTCAAATAATGCTAGTACAGTACAAACAACGTAGCAGCAATTATGTCAACTAATTTGTTGTTATTGTCGTTATTGAACGAGTTGCAAGTGATTTTTTAAACGAAACTTTTCTAAATTAAGTACTGTGTTTTTTTAAAATAATTTTCATGGAAAACTCCTATATGACGAATAATTATTTTGCTGACTGCCTTTCCCAACAAACAAAAATGTACACAGTGATATTTTCCCATGAAAGACGAGGGTGCCGAGTGTGTGTATTTAATATATATGTTAAAATTGATAGTAACAAGCAAGTTTTCTATTTTTGTTAAAGTAGCTCGTTTGAATTCGTTTGATGCGGTCGACATTTGGAAGGAAATCAAATGCAATTAAATCACAACGGTTTTGCTCGGCAGAAGCTGGAAAAAATGTTCATTACTAATTTCAACGTTTGATGTAAATTAATATCAATTATGGCTGAAAAAAAAGCGGTTTGTGGCAATAAAAGTTGGACAAAAGTTTACAGGAGGAACAATAGCTTTATTAAATCGTGTTCAATTTGAGATACAGTTCTGCACAATTGCAATTTAAATTAAAATGTTAAAGGGAATATGCTAATTTTCTTTATTTTGATGAGATTTTTTTTCTTCAATTTCCTTCTATATTTTTTTCATTCACTTCCGTAAATACCATGGGCTCCTCGCCAACCGACAATGTGGACCGAGAGTAGTTTTGAGAATATGCAAGTTGATTGATTCCGAAATAGTTCATAATTTTAGTTTTGTACATCACAAAAGCAAAGGCAACAATTGCCACTATTACTATACAAGATAAAACGATTAAGGTCGCCGAATCGGTTCCTTCTTCAGTTGGTTTAAGGATCATTTTTGCATATTTATTGGTCATTAATGGCGGAGGAGTAATAGTGACGACTTGATCATCGATTTGGTCACTATCCGTCACTTCATCTGGTTCTTCGACTACTTTGCACCTGATGCCGCCCACATTATCCCCCTCAACTTCAAATGTATAAATGCGATCCACCTCAATAGTCAACTCGTGCCAAACATCTTTATCGAAGAATGTATGCAAGTACGAGCAATTGAAGTTGTTGTTTTGAATGCCGAGTGTGTGTAGATTTGGAAACAATTGTCGTCGGAAACCGGCCAAATCACTTATTTCATCATTTCCTTCGAGATAAAATCGATGCAAGTCTTTAAAACGCGGTAAGAACATTTTGAAATCCACTTTTTTCAACTTATTTTTGGACAAATCAATTGATTGCAGTTTCTGTGGTTTCAAAAATGTTTTTGGCTCAATGTTGGTTAAACTGATTTGTGATAAATTCAAATGCAAGAGATTGGCGTGCTTTGCAAAAATGAACCGACCCAATTTTTTAATCGGATTTAACGATAAGTTGATGTTGTTCAAATTGGTAAAATTGTCAAAAATATGTTCACATAGATCACTGATTTCATTTTTCGACACATCCAATACGGTCAACATGAAAGTGGACGCTGCAAGACCGTTGATACTTTTGATGTGATTATTTGACATATAGAGTTCTCTTAGCGTTGCTGACATACTGTAGAATGTGTCATTCAGGCTGGAAATGTTATTGTAAGAAATGTCCAAGATTTGCATTTGATTGAAATGCGAAAACAAATTCGCGTCAAATTCGGTGATTCCATTGTGTGATACATTTAAACAATTCAACACCAAATCTTCGAATGCTTCGGCATTCAAATGTGTTAACATATTATACGATAAATCCAATTTTGCTAAAGTGCTTAATCCGGCGAATGTCAACACATTTAATTCATCAATTTGATTATTTCGAAGAATTAAAGTTTCCAAATTATGCAGACTCTGGAACGTTCGATCATCCAATTTCGCGAGGTTATTGTTCGATAAGTCTAACGACAACATTTCGGTTGCGTTGGTAAATGCTGCTGAAGCGATGCGTTTAATTTTATTGAACGAAAAATCCACGTCACGTATGTGTTGTGCGCCGTTGAAAAGTCCTGGTTCGATTTCGATCAAAAGATTATGCGATGCCACCAATGTTCTTAGCCGTTGCTCGTATTTTCCATTGAAATCCTTTTGGCCTAACGATTTCAACGAAATATCCGATATGTTGAGCTTCCAAACGTATCGATAGTACTCAATAATATCCACGGGAATTTTTTGTAGTGCACAATTTTGAAATGACATTACTCCAATTGAGTCTTTGATATAACCGTCTCGGTTATTTGAACATGGCTTTTTCTTGTGTTCATAGTTGAAAAAACGATCGGGAATGATTTGTTGGTCGTGGCAAAGAAATGTTACACTTTCACTAGGTCCACCGCTCCATATGCATTCACCGATAAATGTACCGCGACTAACTGCGCACTTAACTGAACCCAACGAAATCACGAGCAATATGTAAACAAATTCTATTGCCATTGTTTTGACGAAGCGCTTAGCAAAGCACAAGAATAACTGCCGACGCCTCGAGCTAAACATAGAATTTATAAGCGGATTTTTTAAAAATCAAAATCATAATAAAGCTGTGTGGTCCGACATTGATCATGTCCGTTTATTATGATGAAATTCCAAGCATTGATAAAATCACTTATATGCATTACGAAGTTTGGATAAAATTACGTTTTGCGTATATTCCCGTTTACGTTGTTCCTATTGTTTTATCATAATTTACATCCGTCGCACTTAGGGGAAATTGGGGAATTCCGGGCCACAGTTTATTTTTCGTTCATAACTTTGTGATAAATATACTTTTCTTCAAAATTAGAATATCTCAGTTGTAGTACGCCTCAAATCCTACCATTTGAGTATTCTCACTTATAAAAATTCAACTTTGCTAAAAAAAATTTGGTGGTTGGCAAAAAAAGGACGTTTTTGACATTTTCAAAAATCATGGGGAATTGCGGGCCACTTCATGGATTGACATAAAACTGACAATATATTGGTGAAAAATGTTTATTGATCGTTCAAAATGACAAAAGAAATTATTTTAAATGAAATGAAATTGAAAAATCGTAAAATCAAGATCAAAATTAGTCCGATAATTTGCAGGTAGCGCATGTAAAAGAGTTGGTCGTCATATTGGCGCATTTCAAGTGAAGTGCTTGGTCGCATGAATCGCAATGAATGGAATTATTTCGATTGAGCTTCTTTGGCATGTTTTCCTTGCAAATGATGCAGATGTAAACATCTTCTTCGTCTTCTTCAGTAGAAGATATTGAGTGCGCTGTTTCTTCTTTGGCGTGGTTGATACTGCACGGGCTTTGCGCTTCTTTGTTGCTGGTGGTTTTGTTTTTGCATCCTTTCGTTGTTGTTATTTTTCCAATTTCTGGCTCTTTCTTCGCATAATAACGTGGCATTGGTATCATGATGACTACGAAATTTTCAAAAAACAAAAATATATGTTTAAAAAGGACACTTAACTGATATTTTGTCGAAATTTGGCCTGAAAAATATTGAATGTGCATTGTGCAATAAACATGCGTTTTAAACTCATCTAATGTCAAAAATGTAGTGGCCCGTAATTCCCCAGAAAAAATGGCCCGGAATTCCCCAAATGATTACAAGATGGTTGCACATGACTCACTCAATGTATCTTTATCCAAATTCCTTTTGTGAGGCGAAAGAATAATGACCCACCATAAAAAAAATATACTTACTTGAATTTATTATCGAAAAAAGGTCGTTTAAAATATGCAAACACGATGATTAGAAAAAAATATTTTAGAATTTTTGTAAATGCACTTATTGCAGAGAGCTCACAGCACGTGTTCACGCGTCGAGTGGTGATAGGAAACTGATATTAGGCTAAGACAAGACAAATGAAACAATTTTGACTTGTCTAACTATTCAAGTGACAGAGAAAAGTCGGGTGGCCCGCAATTCCCCATGGCCCGGAATTCCCCAATTTCCCCTAATTAATTCGTATCAAAACTCATTTGAGAGAAGTTAATTTCAACGAATTTTTAGCAGTAAAAATAAAAATCCCGAAAATGCGCGAAGGATGGCTGAAGGTCATTAGGCAAAGTGAAACTGTTGACATTTTATCAATCCAGAAATTTTAAGTCATTTGAACATCACAGCAATGCATATAGACTTTGATAAATTATAAAAATAATGACACCAACACTAGCGTTTCAACGTATTGAGCATTTTTCACTGGTATGCTGTCACATCTAGCATGTTCCCGTTGTTTTTTCTTGTTCGTTATCGTTTCTCTCTCTAATTTCTCTGGCGTTGTTTGCATTGAGAGCAAAAAAAACCACAATGATTATGAGACATGGAATGTAAGTATGCGATGGTGAAATGTTTTGTTAGCTCGACGTGCATATGCAAGTGATATAAGGCTTAACAAATTCTGAATTATATTAGCATCACTCGATGACTGTTTGACAATCTGTCAATCATGAAACTTCTTCCCCATGCTCATCACTTTCCACTTCTACTCAAATGCCATTTCTCTTTTTTTCCACTCAAAATAAATGTTTTTATTCTCGGTTGCAAACTCAGCATGATTGTAGCTTGGTGATACGAATTTCAATTTTGCGATGTCATTTCGTTTTTAAATCGAATGCGAACAAGTAAATGCAATTTATTACCAGGGTTAAACGATTTATGCGAATTCACAAGTTGATCTAACTTTTGATTTGAGATGAATGAGATTTGCGTCGAAAGCGAGTGATATCTAGCATTTTACATCAAGTTCAAGTTCAAGACAATGATGAATTCACGCAGACAGTGTAAGTGGAGCATGACGATATACAGATTGAGACATATGTCTACTTTTTCGCTTGGAAAGGAAGCGAATTCGGAAGAAGGAAGGAAATGTAGTGCATTATTTAATCTCAAATGACATATTTTATTTCGCAAAGATATTTCTTTATTCTGTTTGCATTTCAAACTGATGTTTGCTGTGAATACACATGAACAGTGGAAAAATTGTCATTTCCATTCAGAAAGAGTAAGAATGAACATTGAACAGCCACTTTGGCTGATATAAAAAATGATTTAAGTTTCAAACGAACCATAAGAAGACAATAGAATGGATAGTATTGGGACACTACAATATTTCCAACTTATGTGACGATATTAAATTAAATAGAAAGGCTACGCGTTTATACAGATCAAATTGCGAACTTTATGTTTATTTGTGATAAAATTTGTCGTTCAAAGCAGACTAACAGATTGATATGGCGGATGAGTCGTAAAAGACCCGCGTCTAAAATATCGTTTTCCTCATTGCATTTCCTCGTATATTTTCATCACTAAATTGGCTTTTTTATTTGGCTTTTCCTTGAAATATTTTTCTTCGAAATGTTTTTCTAGAGATTCTACGAAAAAGCGATAAAAATTCAGAGCGACACGGTTCTTGGTACTTTTTTTACATCCAGTACAAAAAAAAACAAAGACTTACTTTAAACCCAATTTTTGGTATCTATAAACTGGTGCCGGGAAGAGACTATTCTTTTCTTACATAGAAATATTTCTGCAGAAATATTCCCATGCATGGAAGTCATATCAGTCTATACAACGATTATTTTCAACTGAATTCAACATTTTTACGGCATTAAACCTTATAGTGAAAAAATGACCAGAAAAGAAGTCTGAAAATCATGAAATATAATAAAAACTTATAGTAGTTCATCAATTTCAATTTTGAAACTATGTGCATTAGGGTGTTTTCGGCATCGTTTAATCAAAAAATGGTATGCCTCATTCGATAGATCTCAGAATTCTGAGTCGATTGATAATATTGTTGTCGCGAATGGATATGTGATGACACTTCCCGAAGCTGAAAACAAAAACAACTTTATTCTGAATTTCCATAGTAACCTGTGACAACCAGATTTGATTTGATTTGATATTTGTGAAAGCAAAAATTTGACAAGAAAACATAACATTGAATCTGGTTGTCACACCTTACTATAGAAATTCAGAATAAAACATTTTTTGTTTTTAGTTTCGGGAAGTGTCATCACAAGTCCATCCGCGACAAAAATGTTATCAATCGACTCAGAATTCTGAGATCTATCGAATGAGACTTACCATTTTTCGATTGAACGATGCCGAAAACACCCTAATGTGCATGTAACTAAACATAGCGAAACGAAGCTGGGTTTTCAGGCGAATAAATCTTATTCGACGTGGTTTAAATCTATTCTTGGTTCTTAGTATAACATAGTGGCTACCCTCTATTCTCAACTGTGAACTTGGCGTGAGTTTGGATTCATGAATTTTACTTCGTGTATAAATCATATTGAATCTACAAGGGTTGGTTGATTTATGCAAAATCGCAAACCGGCTCAACTTTTGACTAGAACGAATAATTTTTACTTGGGAGTAATGATTGTATGCTAACTTGTACTCAAGTTCAAGGTCATATCGACGTCATTTATTCACCCAGACAGTCAGACAGTATCAGCACATGATGACGGTTGAAAGGCATTTGTCATGATATAAAAATAGACAAATACATAACTTATTGGGGGTTAGGGGAACATTTTTAATAATAATTGCTCATGGTTTATGTTCTTCTGGGTTATTTTGTTTGGCTAATATATCTTATGAACGTTTAATAAGTCGTAGTTTATTAATTAATAAAGGCATACACAAACTTCAATACTGATGATAAAAAAAGCAATTCAGAACTTAAAAAGACTATTGCCCCATTATGTAACAGCTGGAGGAGTAAATGAAATTCGTTTTTTAGGCAGAAATGCTGATGTTGGGTGGTGTCTTTTTTCAATTTTTCAGTTTGCGTAGATATGACGCATTTACAAAAATGACTCACATCAACCCGAAATTCATTTCATTTATGTTTATAAACATATAGAAAATCTAGACGAGTTAAGAGTACACTATGAGCAACACACACACAATCAGTACTGAAATCATCCGCCATTAAAATTTGCATATCTCTTTCATTCAAGGACATTTCTTATATTATTATTGTACACTCACATGAACGATTTCATCATTAAAACTGAAGTTTCACTACTTGTGAAACAAACTAACAATAAAATACCACGAAGAACATAAAACCGATAAACATAGGAATGATCTTCTGTGTGATTTTATTCAATACAACAAAAACGTATGTGGAACTATTCGTTTTGATCAGAGAAAGTGTTTCTCACTAAAAAAAAATGCTTCATTGAGAGTACAACAACATTTGAATGCCCTAGATTTGCTGGGGCAATGCAATTGGAATATTTGTGGCGATTATTGTGCGGATAGATCTTGAATAAATTGAATACGGTCCGAATTTGAGACAGCAATTCCAACATTCATTTGAATGAACAATCCAAGCGAATAATTCGTTCGAAGCAACTGATTGATGCGCCCGTAAACAGAATTCACACGATGCATCAGTTTTTGAAAACTTGTTTTGATTTGCATTTCACATAACGCATCTGTTTGTTCAATCCTATCGCCTGAACACAAAATATATGCACAGATAAAGTTTACCTGTATGACTTGGTTGCCACGAACCGTAATTGTGATATCGAGTACCTGAGTTGAACCTGTTGCATTTGTTATACTATTGTTTGACCTCAATCCTGATTGGGTTTAA